AATTTGTCCTTACCGACAGAAGAAGTCTTTCAGGTAAACGGCCAAAATCGGCTGGTAGCAAATTTTCCAGTTCTCGATTTTCATTCTCAGACGAGAGAAATGCCAACACCAAAGCCACTGAATAAGCAACTTTCGGTTTTTCTTTTAGTACATTGGTTCCTTTCCCTTCTAGGAAAGTTTGAACCTCATTGTCTGCAAGCGATACGGATTTTTTAGTGTTTTAGCCACCATAATTCGAGAAAACTCCGACAAAAAACTTGTATTGAGAATCGTAAATGCTTTGCCGTTCATTCATCAACCTGACCGAGTGGCGCCAAGGGCGAGTGACGCATAAGCAGCTGATTGGCTATATCAACACACGTGAAAAATTACGATATTTTTTCACCTGTGTTGTTACGGCTTTTCTCAGGGCTGAAAATCCTTGTATAACACCGCGGTTTATGTGACTAAAAAGTATTATCGTTTGTCTCACGATGTGGTCACTTATGACGTGAATTGCGACGTTTCAACTGCATACTGATAGTCTTCATCAGGCGATCCCCGATGTTAGAGAAGGAAAGGCGTACGTGCTGTCTTCAAGTCCGAAATTACACCAAGATCAGAGCTACTAAGAGCGAAAGACGTTGATCCGGCTAAACAAGACGGCGTAGTTTACAGGATTCCCTGTGAATGCGGCAAAGTTTACATCGGCGAGACTGGAAGACCGATGCAAGACAGAATAAAGGAGCACGACAGAGACATTCGACTAGCTCGTACCAAGGCCTCCGCTGTTTCAGAGCACGCCCACAACACCGGACACCAACCGCTTTGGAGTGAGGTTAAGTTTATTGATCGTGATCCTCACTGATACACTCGCAGGGTCAAAGAGGCAATTCATGTAAGACTTCATTCTAACAACATCAACGGGGACAGAGGAATAAAAATTCCTGAAGTATGGAAGCCCACGATCAATAACACAACAACCGGAAGGCCGTACGACAGCGGACCACCGAGGGAACAACTCACTAACATCGAGGACCGAAACGCGCCAGACAGAGTTATGGAAAAACCAACCAACAGTAGGGCATCCTGCTTTATAAGAAGACCCGAAACCACTCGACCTTGTTGCCTGATGAAGACTAGCAGTATGCAGTCGAAACGTCGCGATTTACATCATAAGTGACCACATAGTAAGACAACGATAATACTTTATTATTATTATTATTATTATTATTATTATTATTATTATTGTACTTTACTACAACTAACAAGCACAACCTTTTTTACGAAAGTACTCAGTGATGTGTGAAATTGGCTGAAAACAGGTTATTTATAGGAAGGAATCACAACCCTATCCCTCTTTCCCTCAGAAGTGACTGAATACATATGGGATTTCAAGTTCGTATATTTTGGTTGAATGATCAGTGGTTCCCTAATACGAGGCGTTTTCCTGGAACACTACTTTCAATTCTGGGCTAATTTGATAAAACTATTACACTTGTAATCTACAAGTCGGACGGTTATAATTACAAGTGCAGACGAAAACGACTTTAAAAACATCGTCGCTAGTCCAGGTTACAAGTTTACGTAATTCGTATCCAGTCAAATACTCCATAGCCACTTTATCCCGGAACCAGCAAATAGTCGCACGTCACTTGTAAACATTGAGTATTTCTTGTGAAAAAGGACATTAGGGCGTAACAATATGTCATCTTCTAGTGAAGAGGAACTTGACGAGCTGCTGAGACGTCAAGTTAAACGCCAACCGAGGAATTTCCGGAAAAAAAAACGGATTTTCAACATTAAAAATCCGAAGAAGTTCCGTCGGCCTGACCTGTCCTTCGTCCACCTTTCGGAATCAATAGGCTCGCGTTTGGAGCATAGCAGGAGACGCAACATTGTATTGACGGCAAGGCAGAAACTTTTAGTGTTTCACCTCTTTCTTGGAACAAATTCCTTCTATTACGTAATACACTCTTGTCATGGTATCTCCAAATCAACTGTATGGTATATCATTTATCGCTTTGTCCCTGCAATACTTAGCTTTGCGCCGAAGTTCATAAGATGGCCTGGCCAGCCTCTAGGTATCGCCGCTAAATTCAGAGACATCGCAGGCTTTCCATGTATCGCAGGATGCGTTGACGGATCTGACGTCCCTGTGAAACCAACTCATAATGATGACGACGCGTATGTCAACCGCCATCATTCAAATCTCTGAATCTCAACTTGATAACAGGCCCAAATTACACCATATACTTCTGTAGGAGTTGATGCCCAGTAATTTTAGGCGACTCAGCCTGCGCCTCTAACAAGTGGTTGATCCCTCCTTTCAGAGGAAACGTAGAAGGAGCTCGCCACAGATTTAATAAGGCACATAGGAAAACATGATGCACTATCGAAAAGGCCTATGGCGTTCTCGAGAAATGGTTCTACGCTCTGTAGAGGGGTATGAGAGTGACAAACATAAAATGAGCTTCCGAGCTAGTCCAGTGTGCTTTTATATTGCACAACGTCTGCATTCTACCACGACGACGCAGATCTCAACAATGTCCACGATGAGTTGGATATTGGTCATAGAGAATAACAATAGAACAGAAGGTAGCGACTGCTGCAACACTTCCTTTCAGTTTGAGGACTGATACACGCTCCACCTCATGCAAAACAAACACGAAAGGAGTTCGCCAAGAAAACGAATTACCATCATGACACTTCAAAGCATAAAGGAGGACTAACTGGATTATTACAACTCTTCAAATAACGACCACAAGCACAAACGGACGAAAATGACACTTAAATACACAAGATGTAGCATCCTTTGTAGCATCCCTTAAGCTGTAGCACGCTCAAACACTGTAGCTTTTAGTTGATTTATTTCGTCTTCGTTTCACAGAGGCTGTTTAAAGCACCAGGACACTGAGCTAAAACTTTTTTGGAAGCAACACTAACCTGCCAGAAGGCAAAAAATATATATTGAGGTCATTGATCACGAGGAAGAAGAAGAAATAGCATTTTCTAAACGAAAGTCCTACCACTAGCCCATTTTATTATTTAATGGTAACATGCAGCTGTACAAAATAAAAATGAAATGAGTATCATCTCAGACCATTTGTAAATGGTGTTGGAAAGTTCAAAATTCCTTAGTATCCCCCAAACATTGTTACTCCCTCCATATTAAGCCCCCCTCCCTTTAACCCTTTACACCCTAACATCAGTATGCATATTCTCTATACTGTTCTCTAACGTTTCCTAAGGTCCTTACAAGGAGAATCTGTTTAAGAATCAAGAGCTTCTTTAGTTTTGATCATTTTATTTATTCTCATGACCTCAACTTATCTCCTCTTCTTTCTCGGATCCCTTGTGGTTTGCTTTCTCTCTGTTGATAACC